CTCCCCTCCCCAGCGCCCCTGGCTCGTCTGTCAGTCCCCACCCCACTCGAGGCCGGCGGCTCCCTCAACTCGCACCCACCGTTCCGAGGGGCCCCGGACTGTGGCACTGTTTCCGAACCCTTTGGTGGGGATTCCTGGACTTTGGGGCTCTTGGAGAGACTTCCGGGCAGATCCGGAGGGAGGGAGGGTGGTTATCTCCGAGAAGAACAGGTAAGGGGAGTGCCCGCTCCTGGCATGTCAGCCCACGGGCTCTGCCCCTCCTGCTCGTGGTAGCTAGAAATGCCCCTTTAGCCCCAGGTTCCTGTGGGCTCTGCTCCCCTCCCAGAGTGGCAGGCTTATTTCACGGGAAGTCATTGGGGTGAAGGTGGTAGGGTCTTAGGGCCGTTCCTACTTCTGGTAGCAGTACCCCCCCAAGTGGACATCCTGGCTGAAAGCAGAGGTGACTCCGAGGAGAGCCTGGGGAAGGGGGGGATGCATTTAGGAGTCTGTGCAGTTCTTTGCCACACCCTGTGGGGCCTGAGAGTTCCTTCTCCTCCCCCTGCTGCATTGCACCATGGGTATCAAAGAGGGTTTTGAGTTTTGGGGACCTGGGGTGAGCTGCTGCCTCCTATAGACCCAGGCTCTGATGAGCAGTAGAGCCAGGGCCTGAGTTAAGGCCTGGGAAGGACTAGGCCGTCTTTGGGTTTCAGGCCCTGAAGGACCATCCAGTCTTAGTGAGCCTAGGCCTTAGGGGGTATATCCTGATGCCAGGATTAAGCTCTGGGTATCGAGGTATGGAGGGGAGGTGGCAGTGTTCAGAGGTGCCTTGGACTCATACCAACACCCCCACCCCCATGTGTGCAGCCGTGTTGCCGCCCGCTGTGCTATGAGCAGTCAGAGCGCCGTCTCCACAAGAGTTTACAAATGAAAATGGAGGAAATGTCTTTGTCTGGCCTGGATAACAGCAAACTAGAGGTGAGGGCTCCCCCACGGGTGCCTCTAGTTCTTTCTCTTGATGTCTCTACGTTGTTGTAACTGACATCCAAACCAAAGAGGAATTTGGGTAGTCAGCCTTGTTCCTTAAAGGGAATAGGGCCAGCTGAAAAGGCCTAAGGATTCAGAAGAAAGAAGGCGAAGTCAAGATGGGGGAAATGGCAAAGAAAGCATTATTTTTGGCCAGGGCCAATTGGCAAGAGGTTTGGTTGGTGAGGGTTGCTTTCAGTCCACGGGGCTGTGACTCTCGTGATTGTGGATGTTCTCCCCTACGCCCAGGCCATCGCTCAGGAGATATACGCTGACCTGGTCGAGGATTCTTGTTTGGGATTCTGCTTTGAGGTACACCGGGCTGTCAAGTGTGGCTACTTCTTCCTGGACGACACGGATCCTGATAGCATGAAGGATTTTGGTGAGCTTCAGGGTTGAAGGAGAGCAGTCCTGGTAGTGCGTGGAGGTTCCTCTGGAAGTCACGTCACATGTAGAGCCTGGAGCTCCTGTGAGCTTAGGCAGGGAGTTGGAAGAGGCCATGGGTGGGAATGCCCGCCCTGATCGCCACGCCTCTCCTGTCCCCAGAGATCGTGGACCAGCCGGGGTTGGACATCTTTGGACAGGTTTTCAACCAGTGGAAGAGCAAGGAGTGTGTTTGCCCCAATTGCAGCCGCAGCATTGCCGCTTCCCGCTTTGCTCCCCATCTGGAGAAGTGCCTAGGAATGGGTCGGAACAGCAGCCGAATCGCCAACCGCCGGTGAGGGCTTGTCCTCCTGGTAAAACCAGAGCTGCTCATCATTTGCAGCTTGTAACATGGTGTAGTCCCTTGGGGGCATTTGTAGGGTACAGAGGGTGGGTGGGTCATGCTTGGCCCCAGGTGCTCCACTATCTAGAGGTAAGAGAGAGGTGGCAGCCTTTGCCTTTCTCTTTCCTACCTTTGTCAGGATTGCCAATAGCAACAGCATGAACAAGTCTGAGAGTGACCAAGAGGATAATGATGACATCAATGACAACGACTGGTCCTATGGCTCAGAGAAAAAAGGTGTTTGGGGATCTGGGGAAACTTGGAGGGCATTGGGGGTATGATGGGCCAGAGGGAATTGGGTAACAAAACTACATTTTGTTATCTTGAATGAGGGCAGAGAATGTAGTTTTGTACTTTTCTTTCGGTGCCCTTAGATTGGGAACTTAAAGTGACCCTGCCCTTTATCCTTTTGTCCTACACAGCCAAGAAGAGAAAATCAGACAAGGTGAGAGCCGGGGCAAGCATGAGGGAAATTTGGGCGAAGGACAGATACCCTCCCCTTTGGGCAGGGAGTCCTCGGGTATCTTGACTCAAGTCTGAGGTCATTGGGTACCTCTGGGTTCTGGGATGAGGGTGTCTGTGGTGGGCAGGAGGGCAGCAGAGGCCTTGGGAGGATGGGGGTGGAAATGGGTAGAAAGAGTAGAAATTTGAGGATGTTTCTTTGTCAAATCTTTTTTCCTTCCCTGGGTTCTCGGCTCCCCCTTATCGTTACCCTTTCCCCAAAGCTATGGTATCTCCCATTCCAGAACCCCAATTCCCCTCGAAGATCCAAGTCTTTAAAACACAAAAATGGTAAGTGGGGCTGTAATAACTTTAGTGATTCTAGCTGTGTTTTCTGGGATTCATTGCTGGGAGGTGGGAGGTGGGAGGCTTGGGGGACGGGTATCGAGGGAGGGCCTGTGATCCTTCTGTCACCCCCACTTCCTCTCTGGTTATTTTCAGGGTTCTCTGTCTGTACCTCTGCATCAAACACCCTTCCCCTTCTTTTTTCTTCTTCAGGGGAACTTAGCAATTCGGATCCTTTTAAGGTGAGTGAGTAGGGGCTGCCCCTCTTAGGTTCCCTCTCATTTTCCTTGTTGTGGGTTGGGTGGGATTTAGACAAGTGGGGATCAGAATGCTGACAGCCAGAAGCGATCAATGGGGTATTTAGATCTTTATGTTCTTTCTCGGTCCCAGCCCCTTACCATGTGCAGGCGGGATGGAAGGAATCACTGAAAAACTGCTGGGAAGTCTTAAGCCTTCCTTACTTAGAAAGGGTTGAGAGGGACTGGTCTGCACCACATCCCCACCCTCTTTTCTTTGGCTGCTGCTTCTCTAACCTGTACCTCTGGTTCTCCCCCAGTATAACAGCTCAACTGGGATCAGCTACGAGACCTTGGGACCGGAGGAGCTTCGTAGCCTGCTCACCACGGTGAGGAACCAGGGAAGGGGAGGCCTTTGGGAGTGGGCTGAAGCCACAGGCAGTGGTCAAGGCCCTGGAGAAAGCTGGTGACATAGCAATCAGGCCATATAGTTCTTTCTCTGGAATTGGGTTTCCTGGCCAATGGTGGTCTGGGACCGTCTGCTCTGGACACCTGGGGGCCATTTCTGCATGTGCAATCTAGCATTTATATAGAAGAAAACATCTAGTGTCTAGAGTAGGTTCTCCTCCATCCCTCCTTTCAGCTTATATTCCTCTTCCAGCAATGTGGGGTGATTTCTGAACACACCAAGAAGATGTGCACAAGGTGAGCTCAGAACCTAGAAAGGGGGCCAGGGGCCCTCCTGCACTCACCCTGGGCATGGGTTGGGAGTACCCCTGGACTTGAGCAATGGGACTCCCACCCTTCTCCTCCCTCCTCTAATGATCAGGCCTTAGGCCACAATCTGGGGGCTCTCTGTTCATCCCTTCCCTATTGTCCGCCCTCCCACCTCTGATGAGGGAGGGGCTTCACCTTAGACCCTTCCTGCCTTGTCAGGGTCTGATCATTCTCTCCCCACCAGGTCCCTCCGCTGCCCGCAGCATACGGATGAGCAGCGGCGAGCCGTGCGGATTTACTTCCTTGGACCCTCCGCGTAAGTGACCTTCCCAGAGGGGTTGTGGGTTTTGAAAGGTTAGGATAATTGGTGTCTGTAAAACTCTTCTCTGGCCCATTCCCTTTCCAGCGTCCTTCCAGAGGTCGAGAGTTCCCTGGATAATGACAGCTTTGACATGACTGACAGCCAGGCCCTGATCAGCCGGCTTCAGTGGGATGGCTCCTCTGACCTCTCACCCTCTGATTCAGGCTCCTCCAAGACGAGTGAGAATCAGGGGTGGGGTCTAGGTAGGTGATCCAGCTGGGTCCAAAGCAAAGGAGTGGGGGCATTTTGTGTTCTCCTGCTACAACCTTGCCCTCATTCCTTGTGCCTCTTTCTCTTCAGGTACCAACAGCTCTGAGTCACGGAAAACCAAGAAAAAGAAATCCCATCTGAGCCTGGTAGGGACTGCCTCCGGCCTGGGCTCTAACAAGAAGAAAAAGCCAAAGCCACCGGCACCCCCAACACCCAGCATCTACGATGACATCAACTGACTTGGGTGCAAGGGATAGCCTTTGGCTAAGCAGAGCCCTCTCTCCCGACCCCCACCCAGGTGGCATAGCCTGGCAAATGGACGGCTGTTGGGGGTCTGGGCTTGGGAAGCTTGGTGGGCCAGGCAGGCAGAGAATCCAATTATGCGCCCCTGGGGGGTGTCAGGATCCTCTGCGATGGAGTACGACCCTCGGCATGCAGGACTCAGACCTGGACATACTATGCCTTGGACATAAGTTTGGTGGGGCGGCGGTTTTCATATTTATTCTGTGAGTTACTGGATGTCCAGCTAGGCCAGGGGCCTGACGTGGGCACTCTGCCAGGGCACTGCCTGCCCCCAACCCAGGAACTGGACTAAGCCGTGCCGAGGAGCATTGTGGCTACCTGGGAGGCTGTGGGTTAGAAGCTGAGCCTGGAGGGGGCCTCCCCCAGCTGCCCTCAGCAATGTGAATGGGTCCGGTGCTTGGAGCTGAGGGGCAGGGCTGGGCATGTCCTGTCTGTGTGCAGAATCCTATCAAATGCCCCAAATCCCAGGGGTAGGCAGGCACAGTGAGCTGTCTGCTGAGGTAGGCGTCCAGAACTGCCGCTGCCTTCCCTGCCCCTCACAGGGGCAGCCCTTTCCCCTCAGTCCCCATGGGCCTCCTCAGCAGCAGGAGCTGTCCTTTTGTTGTTGGGTGCCAGGAAAGGGCCTCCAGCCTCTACAGCTTCAAAGACTGGGCAAGGGGAGGGAGGAAGAGGGAGCTGTGTATCAAAATGACTCCCCCTACCTTTTCTCCCTGATCCAGGGCTGGTGAGGAGTGGGGCCCCAAGGTGAGAGGGAACGGTGCTGCTTTATTTGAAATGTTTTCTTACCTCATTCCCTGCCCCAGGAAGGGGCTCAGCCTCACCCTCCTGGGGTGGCCCCATGTTCCTCCTGCCTACCCTGCCCCATTGGCCTTCCAGGGCAGCCCATGTTCCCAACTGCTGCTTGCTACCCCCTCTCTTTCACCTTGACCAGCTTCAGTTCCTCTCTCGATGCTCCTGCCTCCAAAGCCTGCCCTGTTTCCCCTTCCTTAGCCGCTTTTAAGTTATTTATTCTGTACTTGTGGTTTGGGGCTCTGAGGAAAATCCTGATCTTTTACCTCTTCCCCTTTGCTAGGAGTGGGGTGGGAAGAGGGTAGTCTCTGTGATCTGGGTTATCAGTAGAGGGGAAGGGGTATCATGTCTAGGCATCGCCCTTCTGTGGACTGTCATGCCAGTGTGCCCGCCTACCTGGTCTACATCCTGAAGAGATGTACAATCCCACCTCCATGCGGGCACCATCATTCCCAGGAGCTGAGTTGGGGGAATGCAGACTGGGCTGGGAGCAGAGCTGACTGACACGGGTGGAGTTGACCCTAAGCCAAGTTCTCTGGCATTTGCTGGATGTGTCCCCTGCCCTCCTCCCAGGAGGAGTTATCCCACATTGGGTAGCTAGTACCCAGGACTTGTTGGACTGATTTGGGTTAGGGATCCTAGAGGGTTAAGGGAGCAACATAGATGGGGTTATAGTACCCTGTCTGGAACCCCAACCTCCCCCTGGGGTGGTTCTACTTGTGGCTGATGCCTGGTTGCAAATTTGTTTTTAACCCGAGAATTGTGATTATTTTTTAAGAAGCCAAACAAATTTTCAGGAGTTAGAATAAATTCTGGGGCCTGGGCTCCTCTGTTCTTGACACCCTACCCCCACCCCCCATTCCCTGGGGTTATAGTACCCTGTCTGGAACCCCAACCTCCCCCTGGGGTGGTTCTACTTGTGGCTGATGCCTGGTTGCAAATTTGTTTTTAACCCGAGAATTGTGATTATTTTTTAAGAAGCCAAACAAATTTTCAGGAGTTAGAATAAATTCTGGGGCCTGGGCTCCTCTGTTCTTGACACCCTACCCCCACCCCCCATTCCCCGCCCCCAGTCTTCTCCCTCTAAGGGGAAGCCAGAGGTAAAGGAGGATCTCAGCCAGCCTCCAGCCTGCTTCCAAATGACGTCCTGGAAGTAGGTTGAAGGTGAAGGGAGGAAGGCCAGGGGCCATTCTCCCTTCTGAGAGGCAGCTGCAGTTCAGGCCCTAATATACCCTTTCCCCTCTGGCCTCTCCCATTCTCCCCTTCTGGTTGGAGGAGAGAGAAGTGGGAAGTAGTTTGGGAACGGGTTTGTCCACTTCCCTATTGTTCCTCAGGCCGCCTTAGGACAGAGCCCCCTGCCCAGCCTGGGTGAGAGATGGGCTTGGTCCAACAGGGACCCTGAGAGAACAAATCCCTATCCCTTTCCTTCCCAGGAGAGTATGCCCCCCTACCATGTAGTTGAACAGGGGCTAAGAGCTCCCCAGTCCCCTCCCTCTAACAGCAGGCTGTGTGGGTTTCAATTCCCATCCTTCCCACCCTGGCTAGGTGTCGTCCACCCTGTATCCTATCATGTGTCTGAGTGTGTGTGGGGGGGTTCTGTACTAATTTCCATGGCCGGTGGCTTTTCCTTCCATGCATCACTCCCCCCCGCATGCCCAGGGGCCACCCGCCTGGCATTACCGCATGCTGGGGTCATTGGGGGAGGGGGGTGGGGGCTCACGCTGTCCTGTGGTCTTGAGATTTTTATTTTTGCATATGTAATCCATCTTGTACAGGTAGCTAACTTTGTAAACGCTGTGTATTTCCCCTGCCCCTCATGGCTGCTGGTGTAAATAAACTGCATCTCCCGTTGGTAGCTGGGCCTACCCACCCTCATTACCATGTTGCTGGAGGCAGAGCAAAGCCATTCTCTCAATGTCACAAAAGGAAGCTCCATAGCCACAAAATGGAACTTTATTCAGTCACAGACACTGGCCCTCCAACAGCCCCAGAGACAAGGGCCTGGGGCACAGTGCTCCATACCCAGAGCTCCTTGGAGCTGGGCAGTGCAGGTCACTGGCTGAGAGCCAGAGCCGGTTCTTGCTTACAGCCTTAGGCCTAGGGTAGCAGCAGCTGTGGCTTGGCCTCTCCCAATGCTGGGGGCTTGGCTTTGTGCCCCAATCCCCTTCCTGACAGAGCTCTATAAAGGACTATTAAAAAAAAAAAAATCCAAGCAAAGTGCTTTGAAAAAAGGGAGAACACTGGAAACTGTCCAGAACATGGAGAACACTCTATTCCTGCTACAGGGGTAGAGGGAGAAGGGAGAGGGCAGGGCAGCTAGGTGCCTATAGGACAAGCTGACACAACCTTCTTTCCTGCCTGTGTGGTTTCAGTCAGAAGATGGATATTCCACTAAACTGAAAGATACCCCAGGCTCCCTACAGAATTATGCTGGGGCCATGCTACACTGCCCTGGCAGGCGGCCCTGAATGCTGAGGAACAAACATGCAGGACAATGGGAAGAGTTAGGGTCACAGGAGAAAATCCTGAGCCCAGGCTCCCCACTGAGCTGGGCCACCAGGGTGGCTCTGAACTTCAGGACCCTAAAAAAGGAAGATGACACCCTCATTTCTACCTGAGTCGTGCTTGCACAGAGGGGATCTCTCTACCCTTGTGGACATGAAGGGGAGGCCCCACACCGGCCTCCTTTGTCCTATGGAAGAGGACCCAACATATCCTTTCCACCCCTCCCTCCCAGGCCCTTGGGCCCAGCTCTGGCCAGGAAAGGGGGAGGCTATAAAGGAGGAAGACCATGCCTTTCATTTTTCTCCCTATGTCCTTATCGTCCATACATCCCAAATACTAGGAAGCTGAAGAAGACAGTGACCCCAACCAGGGAGACAGTGGCAGGTGCTGTGAAGAACTGGCGGTAATTGATACGGAAGTACCAGACCACACCCAACAGCACCACAAACACAGGCACCATGAGGCTGCCCACACTGACACCGAGGCTGGGGGGCTCAGTGACTGAGGGGGCCAGGGAGGCTGAGGGGCCTGGAACAGCTGACCCTGGAGGTGAGCGGTGGCAGTGAATCACACAGTTGTTGGTAATGTTCAGGGAACGAAGTGTGCGGGCTGGGTCCTGCAGCAGGCGGCCCTGGTAGATCAGTTTCATCTGGCTCTCTTGTCCAGGGAAGTATTTACTGTTAAGATGAAAGAAGGAAAGAAGCAAGAATGAGAAGACAAACAGGTCTGAACTAACAAAGCAGGGCAATGGGGAAAAAATTGGGCACATGGCTTATTAAAAGTCTCCCACTTTTCAGCTCACTCACCTCTTTAGTGTACCCACAGTATCTTCTGGCCTGGCCACAGCCAGCTCCTCAGTGTCATTGAGGAATTTGAGCCGCACATTGATGAGGCCAGGGCTGGGAAGCAGGCAGGTGCTATCCTCAGATCTCAGAGGGGCTTCTGGACCGCTGCTCTCTGGGCCCACTTGTCTTTTGGGCAGGCCTTGGATGTCAAGCAGATGCTCAAGGTTGGGCTCAATACCACCTCCAGCTCCAGGATCCCCTGTAGAGTCTCTACCACCTTCTCCGGCCTCTTCAGCCTTCTCATCATTACCCTCTGATGGATGGGGGAGTTCATTTGGCTCTGGGGTGCCTTGGCCCGCCACCAGATGGTCCACATGCCCCAGGTGGAGGACGGATGTGTCTCCAGTTGACACAATAGTGCCTAGGAGCTGGTTGCTACTGCTGTCTGCTACGTAGGTAGAAAGCCAAGCTAGGACCAAGGCTAGAATCAGCACCACCACACCTGCCACCACAGTCACCTCATTACCCACACCCTCAATAAGGGTGACATCAGAGAGTCCCATGGCCCGGCTGCTGACGGGGTCCACACTGCAGGAACAAAGGGGGATAACGTCAGCAGGGCCTGTGGGGTTGCAGCCAGGTTTCTTTTTATTTTTTTTAATCCTCATCCGAGGATATTTTTCCACTGACTTTTAGAGAGAGTGGAAGAGAGGAAAAGACAGAAACATCGATGTGAGAGAAACACATGAATTGGTTACCTCCTGCACATGCCCCAACCAGGGCCCAGGCCAGGAAGGAGCCTACAACCGAGGTACGTGCCCTTGACTGGAATCGAACTCAGGACCCTTCGGTCCACAGGCTGACGCTCTATCCACTGAGGCAAACTGGTTAGGGCATAATCAGTTTCTAGTTCGTTTAGCTTCTAACTAACCCAGCCCTGAAAGAAAATGGAGCTCACTGTCCTGCAGAAGGGGAAACAAACCTTCCTAACTCTGAACTCCCAACCTAAAGCGAAGGACTTACCCTTTATCTCTATTGTGAAACTCAAGTTCCACACCCTTCCTCTCTCACAATCCAACCACCCAATGAACATGGATCATAAGGAAAACCTTACAGCTTTGTTGCTGTTCCAATTGCTTGTTGGTTTTTGGTAGCTTTTTTGCTTCTTTGAGCCCTGAGTTTCTCTAGGACTTCTATCACTTAGTCAAGCAACTGTGCCTCTTTGAAGAGCCTCCAAGATGGCCTCAGAGAGACCAAGTAGCCTATATTTTATTTTGGAGCCCATTTGGAGGCATACTGCAACCACTCTTGCCAGAGTACCTCATTTAAAACCCCATCTCAAAAAAAGAAAGAAAATAAAAGAACCTGTCTTACGGTCACATATCTAGGTCCAGATGTCAAGAGCCAAAGAAAATCAATTTATCATCAAAAGCAGAGTCAGCCCAACCGATATGGCTCAGTGGTTGAGTGTCAACCCATGAATCAGGTGGTCACGGTCCAGGGCACATGCCCAGGTTGCGGGCTCGATCCTCAGGAGCATGTAGGAGGCAGCCAATCGATGATTCTCTCATCACTGATGTTTCTCTCTCCCTTCCTCCCTCTGAAATCAATAAAAACATATTTTTTAAAAAGCCACAGTCAGATCTCCCCAAAGGGACAAAAGAGTCAGAAAACCCCACAGGCCCTACAGAGGGAGGTTATCAGCAAACACTATACAGCAGGCACTGTGTCTGCTTCCTATGAAACTTTCCTGGCAAGCTCTGGGGAGCAAAGTAGGACAGACCTCAGACATACCACCCGACTGGATCCCTAAAGGCTCACAACTGAAAACGCCACTACCAGAGTAGAACAGATTTGGAAAACTCCCCAAATAGCTGTCTCAATCCACACCTCAATCTCTTTTCCTATTGTGTAGGTTCTCCCTCAGCAGTTTCTTAGAAAGGCAAGGATCACGGTTTGCCCCTTGGAGTACCTACTCTTTCCCCTGGAGAATCTGCTGCTTTCACAGTTGTCCCTGGGCAAATCCAGTCTAATGACTATCATTACCAGACTATTCTCACAGCAACTCTAAGACATATGCACCTATCTGTCCATCGCTCTCTGCTAGACTCCTGGAAGGCAAGGATCACATGGATTTCTCTAGGTGCCGTAGTGCCCAGCATGTCATAGTAGCTGCTCAAAAAATATGTGTGGAATGTATCAGCATCTGCCCAGTTTCCACATTCTTATTTATACATGAGCCCTGGGGTCAGGGAAAAACCCACTAATTTATAATCCTGGTCTTGCCCCTTCCTAGCGCTGTAATTTCAGACAACTTTCTCAGAACCTCCGCTTTCTCATAAGTAAAATGGGGTTAAAAACAGTACCTACCTGCCCTGGCTGGGTGGCTCAGCTGGTTGGAGCGCCCTCCCTTACACCAGAAGGTTGTGGGTTCGATTCCCAGTCAGGGCACATAACTAGGTTGCAGGTCCGATCTCTGGTTGGGGCGCGTAGGGGAGGCAACCCATCGATGTTCCTCTCGATGTTTCTTTCTCTTTCCCTTCCTCTCTCTCTAAAAATCAATAAAAACATATCCTCAGGTGAGGATTATTTTAAAAAAACAACAAACCTGATCCCATTATTGCCCTGCTAAAAACAGTACCTACCTCATCAAGTTGTTTTAAAGATGACGGGAAATTATCGAAGCAAAATACTTAGCAGAGTGCCTGGCACAGGCACATTGTAAGTGTTCAGTAAATAAATAGTAGTAATTATTTATCACTCCCACAACTAACCCCTGATGGTGAGAAGGTTAACGTCATTAACCCCGATTTACAGAAAAGGAAACTGTGGCGAAGAGGCGAAAAAGACAGGCACTGACACAGGAAACTTTCGTGGGCAGGGGGCCGGGCAGACCCAGGTCCTCCGCTCAGAGGCCTTCGCCCTCTGCTCAGCCGGGGAAAGACCCTGACGGCCGGTGAGGGGGCGTCCCCTGCCTTTTCTCGAAGCGAAGGCTCCGCGTTTGCGCGGTCCTATGCCCGCGGCACTGGAGAGGGTTCCGCGGGCCCACCCGAGCCGAAAGGTTGCCTGGTCCCAGCCGCCGAGCCCAAGCCCACGTCTCCTAGCCCGTGAGGGGTAAAATCGGGTGAGTGGGTCACAAACCATCCACACCCCTCAAACTTCGGGGCGGGGCCGGGGGGCTGGGGGCGGGGCTTGTGTACGCGGGGAGTCATGGGAAATTAAGAAGGGATTGGACCGGTACTGTGCCAGGATAGGGAAAGAGGACCTCACCTGAAACGGCCAGACCAAGTATTTTGACTTCTCTAGGACGGCCGATGGACTCACCTTTCCGTAGGGGCCGGGGAAGGGACTGGCTACCCCCGATTCTGTCCAGGGTCCAGTCTCTTCCGGCTTCTCCCGGAAGCTGTTAGAACCAGAGACAGGAAGTCCCGCCTCCTCGCCTTGCACTGATGACGCAAAAGCTACGTAAGGCGGGCTGGCGTAAACGTATTCTTTAAAAGGGACAGGTTTCTCAGCGGAAGGAGGGGCGGAGTCATTGTTAGCGGGATCTTGGCCCTCCCGAGGCAGGGCCACGCCTAGTGGGCGGGGTCCGAGGAGCCCTGGGTTGAGGGGTGGGGTCAGGAGGGAGTTGGGGGCGGTGCTTGATAGGGGGCGTGGTTTCGGGTCTGGCCGATTGAGCAGGCTGGCACCGCTGGGCGGAACCGAGCAGCACTTCCCTCTTTCCAATCTTGTTCTTCCGGCCCTGCTCCTACCCTCCCTGTCTGGTAGGATTTATTACTGTTCCGGGTTAGCGGGATCGGTAAGGTCTGGTCTCTCTGAGCTCCAAGAATTCAGGGCTAATCGGGAGACAAACAGGGAGATCAGTTACTATCCGGTGCTCCGAGAATGCGGCCTCAGGTAGCGTGGGACTTGGGTAAATTATGCAAGAAAGCATTTCAAAGAAGACACAGATTCAGGGGAGGTTTAGAACATAAGAAATGCGGGAGCCCAAGAAAAGGTTCAGCTTCCAAGAACTTACCCAGATTTTTGCAATTAAATTTTTTTCTAAAGATCTGGGTTTTTTTGTTTTCTGGTGAACAATTTATTAAAGTATAAATAATGCGAACAGGGGCAAAATCATAAGCGAAGAGCTCAGGTAATTTTCGCCAACAGAACACACCGGTGGAACTAGCATTTGGATCAAGAAATAGAAAATGGCCCGTCTGTGTGGCTCAATGGTTGATCTTCAATCTATGAACCAGGAGGTCACGGTTTGATTCCCAGAGTACATGTCCCAGTTGTGGTTGCGGGCTCCATCCCAGTAGGGGGAGTGCATGAGGCAGCTGATCTCTCTCTCCCTCTCCCTTCCTCTCAGAAATAAAAAAATATTTTTAAAAAATACTCCCGCCATTAAAAAAAATTTCCCCCAACCTAGTGGAGTATCATATTACTGTTTTAATTTGCACTTCCTTGATCGCTGATGATATTGAGTATCATTCATTTACTTAACAGATATTTGAGTGTTCACTCTCTGCTAGGCACTATAGAGACACCAAATCAACACTGGCAATAAAACAGATGTTTTTCTTTCTCTCACAGATCAAGGGAATAAAATCTTTTAGCTGTAGTACATTTTCCAATATTTTGCCTTTTAGTTGTATTTATGACTTGGTGTTTTCATTAAGCTTTGTCTGTATCCATGTACATTTTCCAATATTTTGCCTTTTAGTTGTATTTATTACAGCTTTGTCTGTATCCATATCTATTAATCTATTAATCTTTTCTTTTGTGCTTTTGCCCTACCCCTAAATAATATACATATTCACATGTATCTTTTGTTTTATTTATTTTTTAAATATATTTTATTGGTTTTTTTACAGAGAGGAAGGGAGAGGGATAGAGAGACAGAAATATCGATGAGAGAGAAACATCGATCAGCTGCCTCCTGCACACCCCCTACTGGGGATGTGCCCACAACCAAGGCACATGCCCTTGACTGGAATTGAACCTGGGACCCTTCAGTCCACAGGTCAATGCTCTATCCACTGAGCCAAACCGGTTAGGGCTCTTTTGTTTTGTTTAAACAGATATCTTGTAGTTGTAGATATAACAGGAAAAGCTGAGCTCAGTGGGGACAGCCTGCTGTGAGAGGGTGGACAACTCAGCATCCTACCCTTAGAAGGAGGCCCCTAGTGTGGGCCCAGGACTAAAGAGGATTTCACTCTCTCCTCTTGGGCCTTTGGCTCTGTGAAAATGTCAAGAAAGGAAAGATTGTTGCTCTACTGCTCTACATAAGGAGGTAAAAGCCTGTCTTTGTGTTGGTCAAAGGGCATCTCTGCGGATACAACTCCACATAGGAGAGGAGCCTGGGCAACCGCTGCAGGAAGCCAACTCTAGGACTCCTGACTTGTCTTTACCACATGACTCCAAATGGGAATGGCACTGGGGATCCCAGGGCTCCTCCTCAGTTCCCTCCCACAGTGGGTACTTTAGGCTCAGGGGCTGGGATGGGGTCTTGTGTTGTTCTTATGCTCTTTTTGCTATCACAAGAGTAACAGCTGCTCAGTGCAGAAAATTTGGGAACCATGGAAGAGGACAAAGTGGGGGAAACAAACATGGAGTGATAGGTAGCTCAGTCTCATTTCAACCTAACAACATTCACACATGGGTACTGTGCACAAATCATTTATTTGCATTCATAAAAACTAGCTTGGCTTAAAGATGGTGGTACATTTGACTCTGGAACCAGAGGAGGAAGTGAGAGAGAGGGGGGACAGCTGGTGGCTGGTCCTCTGGTCACAGACCCTCAGAGATCACAAGTGTAGTGACCACTGTTTAAGACACCATGCATCACTGGGGTTTGTGGGGAGGGGAGCACAATGCAACCATAAATGGGTCCCAGGCATCATGTATCTATTCCTCCAACAACCATTTACTGAAATACCTGTTCAAGCCTAGTTGAGGCAGACACAGGCTCTTAAATAGGTATGATACCACCAGCCAGTTTGGCTCAGTAGTTGAGCATCAATCTATGAACCAGGAGGTCATGGTTTTATTCCCGGTCAGGACATATGCCTGGGTCACGGGCTTGATCCCCATTGTGGGGTGTGCAGGAGGCAGCCGATCAATGATTCTCTCTTATCATTGATGTTTTTTCTCTCTTTCCCTCTTTCTTCCTTTCTGAAATCAATAAAAATATATATATTTTAAAATAGATATGATACCAAGGAAGGCTACCTGCTAGGTTGATCAAACAGTGCTATTGAGTTGTCTTGAGGATATCAGCTTCAATCAGGGGAAGAAAAAAAATGTGGGCAGGGTATGTCAAGGAGGGGGAACAGCTGGGAACACAGGATTTCAAGAGCATGGGCTTCAAGATCAGTGAGGTCTTCCCTTCAAATGACAATGTGGGCAGAGGCAGTACAACTAGCAGCAGTCTGTCATTCTTTATAGGAAACTGATTTCAGATACATTGCTGGCAGAAGATGAGGGGTTACAACAACAATCACCACCTCCGGGCTTGAGGCATCATCCACTTAGGCAAAGAGGATGAGATGGCTGAGGTCTGAGTCTGCGGACCTTTCCCTCAAAGAGAGGAGCTGAAGCTCAGGTAAGGTTGGTCAGCAGTTGTCTCAAGGAGTCAGTGGAGGGAGGTGGAGTATAAACAGAGGCCCAGGGTCTGGTCGTCCAGGGTTGGGGCGGGGGGAGTACGATGGATGGAGAAAGCAGGACAAGCTGTGGGGCAGCCTGGCCTGGTGCTCACTGGATGTGTCCCTCCACACGCAGCAGCAGGTAGTCCCTGAGGAGCTGGGGCAGTGGGAGGCGGTCGGCAGCCTGTCGGCAGCGGTTGCCCAACTGAGCACGCACAGCCAGCCGGGCCAGGTGCTGCAGCCGCCTCGGCTGGTTCACCATGGCCAGGGCCGAGCTGTAGAAGGCTTCATGCTCCTAGGCCATGAGTGGAACAGGGTCAGATGGCCCAATACCCTTAATTCTGCCCTTCCAACTGGGGGCTACCTAGTGGTAGGGCTCTAGGATTTTGCAACATGTAAAATTTGGTGCATCCTGAAGGACTCAGATTCAGAGCCAGAGAGGCCCTGCAGGGATCATGGGAGTTGGGACCACACTGCAGAGCCCTGTCTCCGCCATGTCTGCACCCATCCCCACTCCAAAGATGCTGGCACGGTGCACATTGAGTCAGAGATGCCTAAGTAATGTCTGTGCTGATGCAGGTAAGAGAGAGGCTGGAGAGGGGTGTGGAATGAGAGGTTGCTCTGAGCTGCTAGGGGGTAGAGGGAACCTAGAATTCAGGGGTTTCACTCTACCTGTCCTCCTCCAGCCCAGGGGCCCTCCTGACCCTCCCTCCGGATTCCCATTCTGGAGGGATAGGCCTAGGGCCCAACCTTTCTTTCCATCTCCCCCTGAGTCCAGGATGGATCTGTGCCCCTGGGGTGGACATACCTGCCACAGCTCTGGGAGTACTGCCTCCACCCAGGTATCACAGGATGGGACACAGGGGTAGGCATTAAGTAGGACTTCTAGTGCCCGAGGGAGGTTGGCACAGTATTTCAGCATCTAGGAATCAAAAGAGGGTCTCAGGGGCACCATGCCTCTCCCAGCCAGGGGCAGATCCAAATCCAGAGACTATGGTCGGAGTCTCTCCTCATACTTTCCCATGCGCAGTTCACCTTGCCCTCAAGGTTGCTCCACAACCTCCTGGCCCCAGCTAGCTTCCTTGGGACCTCTTTTCTCCTTTGCACAACTTCCCCCATGGCCCCCACTGGTCTTTTCCAAGATGGGGACAGACCTCTGGCCACAAAAGGTGGCTCGCAGTCTCTGGGCCCCTCTCTTCCGCTGCGTGGGGCAAGTCCACAGGCACAATCCCCCCACCCAACTGGACCCTCCCTTCACAGGCTCTCCCTACGCACCTCAGGGTGCACTGGCTGGGCCCCGTAGTCCAGCAGTGCCCCGAAGAGGACCTCGGACTCCCAGTTGGGGGTGTCCTGGACCGCCTGCAGCACGCAGTCCATGGGCGTGTGGCCCGCTGCGTTGGAGACTCCAGCGCAGGCCCCGTGGCGCAGCAGGAGCTCGGCCAGGGCCCAGCAGCCGCT